CCTCTCCCTCCTCCCTCCTCCCCTTTCCTGTCTCCCTTTTCTACTCCTTCCTTTTAATGTCTGATGTTTAGTTTAGATTCGTTCCTGTCTCTTAATTTTTTGCATACATTTTGGAGTTGTCACCACGGATATTGTATTAGTTACAGCTCATTTGTATTTCTTATGGCTGTTTGTTTTTTTCAAATAATTTAACAACATACCACAATAGAGTGTAACAGTTTAATTGCAGCTTTGTGATACCTACAGTTACTTTATATTAACTACTGTTAATGTCAGGGAGATCAGTTGCCCAGATTATACTATGCCAGATTCAGGATGTTTATTTCAGTCTTCGTTTTATTTTCTAACTTTTTGTAGCTTACCACAAAAGCTGCAGTAATCTAGCTATGAAGAATAACCATAAGCAGTAGAGCAACAGTATAGAGGATCTTACACTAGTAGCGACTGAAAGTGTAAACATGGTGGTGTACACATGCACACTCATTTATATATGTAGACTACATACACATGTGTATCCTCTCTCTCTCTCTCTCTCTCTCTCTCTCTCTCTTTCTCTCTCTCTCTCTCTCTCTCTCTCTCTCTCTGTGTCCTTCTCTCTCTCTCTCTGTGTCCTTCTCTCTCTCTGTGCTTCTCTCTCTCTCTCTGTCCTTCTCTCTCTCTCTGCCCTCTCTCTGACCTCCTCTCTCTCTCTCTGTCCTTCTCTCTCTCTCTGTCCTCTCTCTGACCTCCTCTCTCTCTGTCCTTCTCTCTCTCTCTCTGTCCTTCTCTCACTCTGTGTCCTTCTCTCTCTCTCTCTCTGCCCCTCTCTCTCTCTCTGTCCTTCTCTCTCTCTCTGTCCTCTCTCTGACCTCCTCTCTCTCTGTCCTTCTCTCTCTCTCTCTGTCCCTCTCTCTCTCTCTCTGTCCTTCTCTCACTCTGTGTCCTTCTCTCTCTCTCTCTGCCCTTCTCTCTCTCTCTGTCCTTCTCTCTCTCTCAGTACTTCTCTCTCTCTCTCTGTCCTCTCTCTGTCCTTCTCTCTCTCTCTCTGTCCTTCTCTCACTCTGTCCTTCTCTCTCTCTGTCCTTCTCTCTCTCTCTCTGTCCCTCTCTCTCTCTCTCTGTCCTTCTCTCACTCTGTGTCCTTCTCTCTCTCTCTCTCTGCCCCTCTCTCTCTCTCTGTCCTTCTCTCTCTCTCTGCCCTCTCTCTGACCTCCTCTCTCTCTCTCTGTCCTTCTCTCTCTCTCTCTCTCTCTCTGTCCTTCTCTCACTCTGTGTCCTTCTCACTCTCTCTCTCTGCCCTTCTCTCTCTCTCTGTCCTTCTCTCTCTCTCAGTCCTTCTCTCTCTCTCTCTGTCCTCTCTCTGTCCTTCTCTCTCTCTCTCTGTCCTCTCTCTGTCCTCTCTCCCTCTGTCCTTCTCTCTTTCTCTATCCTTCTCACTTTCTCTCTGTCCTTCTCTCTCTCTGTCCCCTTCTCTCCCTTTTCTCATGAATACCCCTGAGAGTGAAATTTTCTGATAATTTAATGATGAAAGTTTCTCATAATGGATGACATACATTTTCAGCTGCTGTGCACATGATGCCATTAGTGGACCCTCGGAGGGCTTCAAGCCACACACAATCAGGAGCATCGCGATCTAGTTTGACACATCACTTGGGTAAAACTGCAAGCTCAGAGCTGCCAAGGACAAAGACTGCTGAAGTAAACAAGTAAGATGATAAAATAGGAGCAGTCTGTTGTTCATGCCTAATTGGAAATCGGTTTCCATTGCAGTTGATTTTGTTCTCTTGAATTTGGAGTGGACATGCACACTTTGTATGGTAAGATATTTAGTGGTAGCAGGCTATATACAGACAATGATTTTTGTTTTATCTACTAGTAGTGATAATAGAATCAGGCAAACCAATAGTGTAGTATGGAAAGCATATTGCATTATACTCTATATTCAGGAATAGGAATTTTCAGGACATTTGTGGACTTTTTTTTTTTTTTTTTTTTTTTTTTTGTCATTGTATATTGACCTCAACCCTTAATTTTCAAGCTGGAAATATTGGTTTTCATAAAACTGCATTGATAGAATTTACACTTTTAAGCTTTCTATAGCACCACAATTAATGTGAACCAGTGGAGACTTTGGCTCTGGATCTCTGTTGGGATGTACATGCATTCTCCTCCCTTTATCCATGCAGAAATAGTTGAAACATGTTTGTCACCTACATTCTATGATTATGCAAAAGGCACTGGTATATGTGTAACAGGGCAAACCTTGACTTGCATGTCACAGCACCTTTTTCATATATTTGTTGATGTTTCTTTTTTGAGATGATGAATATTTTACTATTTGTATACTTTTTAACCCTTCAGTGACAGGCACGTCTATAGCTCTCATGACGTAATGGCCTATGACATATATTCACGCCATGACTTGCAACAGGTGGGCCAGCTGTACACAGTTTAGGCCAAGCCACAAAGCCTAGACTGTTGCATATTATTACTTCACAAAAAAATCAGGGCCCATCATCATA